CCCAGCAGCTGGGAGAACAGGGAGGGAGGCAGCTCTGGTGAATGATTGACTGTATTACAGAGGATGACAGAGCTATTTGCTCAGTTCTGTTCAAGTTCAGCAAGATGTGACAATCCTGGGAAATAAAAATATATATTGCTCTATTTATATGGGTGTTTGTCTCCAGAGACGTGGCAGGGAGTGGTGGAGAGAAGGGTTTCCTGAAGGATCGAGTAGGCAGAGATAAGTGGGCAGAGTGGACCCTGTCCCAGGTCATGCTGATGTGCCAAAATAAATAAAAACAACCGTGAAAGCGCTTATCTATTGCATACTTACTGTGTAGGGTGCTGTGCTACCTCCTGTATGCTGATTCATAGAACCCTTTGTACCTTACTCTGCCAGCGTCACCTTACGTCCTGGCTCCTATCTGCCTGTCTGTTGTCTTCTTACCTTGTGCTGTGTATCTGGCCGCCAGCTCTAGGCCTCTTGGTGAAGGACATTCCTTGAGCTACTTAGGACCGTGCTGCATCTTAGCCTGGACAGCAGAATTCTTGAGACTTTACTCGTCACTAAAGGGTCCAGGGAAACACACGCTTCGGGCTCTTCATTCTATGGGGCTTTGCTTGATTCTTCACTTTGCTTGACCCCTTTCTCTTCCCAGTCCCATTTCCAGATTTTTGGGTAAGTCACCTTCCCCTGAGTTCTCACTTCGGAAATGTGCATACTTGTGTACACACACACACACACACACACACACACACACACACACACACACTTGAATTTCACTTTCTTAAGCAGTGCTTCTCTGACCTCTCCATCAAGTCAGGGTGAAGTGTTGCACGTGTGTTCTCAAAGTCATCATTTGTCACCCTTTGTCACCGTGATCAATTGGTAATGGTCTGTGTGACTGACAACCATCTCCCTTTTCAGATGGCCGGCTCTAGGATGTCAAAATCCATGCCTTTTTTTCCCCCCTCTTTTTGCTCTTAGCCTTATCTCTAGCACCCTGGCGTAGTTTCTAGAGCATGGTAATTGCTCAGTCAATGTTTATTGGCTGAAAGAATGTCTTAAAGTACCACCTTTAGAGTACCATCAATTTCCTTATAGGTGCTTACTTTCCTCCTGGGTACTTTTCAGCCTTTCTGGGCATAGTGTATGACCCCGGAGAGTGACATGAGGTCTCTCGGCCACTGCTACGGTTCTTCTAGGTATTTTAGGAAAAGCAATACCCAGGTTGAGGTGACAGTATTTCTTGAGGAGACCAAAATTCAGTGTTGATGGTAGACTTAAATCTAGAAACAGGAGAAAGGTGAACTGAATCCTAATGCATTTTTTAAAAATTTAATTTTATTGTCAAGGTGATGTACAGAAGGTTTACAGTTATACACGTAAGGTAGAGAGTACATTTCTTGTCAAACTTGTCACCCCTTCCCTCCTTTTTCTCCTTCTTTCCCTCCCCCCTCATGAAATCTTTAGGAGAAAAATGAATTATGTTTTTATGAAGTACAATGTGATTTCAACTCACTCATATTCTGAATGGAATACACATTCTTGGATCTTGTTCCTCTTCAACAAAAGTGCAACAAAAGTTCTGCTTTCTCCCTGGGAGGCTGATAAGTATCTATTTCCTTTTATTCTTGCCATGGTAATTGTCTGGCTATATAAAATGTACGCCCTGCATTTGTGGAGTGAAGGGAGCCATGAATGTGTATGAGATTATTGGAATAAATGCTGATTGGGTGATTTCCCAGGTGGACAGTTGAAATCTACACAGGCACACATACTTGTTCTCCACACTCAGGATACCTTGGGTTCTGCTCAGTAGAGGTAAAATTGCCGAGTTGACAGTTGCCTGTAAGTCAAGAAGTATGTTTTTAATAGTCACAAGCTTTTCCTATCAGTAAGCTAATAGGAAATCAATGAATTCACCAGATTTTTAGCCAAATCACAACCAAGTTTGTTTGTTTGTTTTTTTTGGTGTGTGTGTATAATGTAAAAGCTAGAAAGTAAATGAGGGTCAGTAAAATGCTGAGTAAATAATCTGCAGGTAAATATAGGCATCTTGTGTTCGTAAAACCTGATGGTTGAATTAGATTATTGAATATGCCCCTCCTGATTTTATCCCTCATGCTCTTGTCTAATGATGTTTGCTCAGATTGTGCAGTTAAACCAGGCTGATCCGCTCTCAGTATCTTTGCAAGTGTGGTTTTTGGAACCTGGGACTGGAATGTGTTGTAGGAGTCCAAGTAGAATGGGGTTATTTTCTAGTTTCTGAATACCCGGTGTCAGGATCATATTTCATCTTTTAGAGAACTTTTTGTTTTTTTTTTTCCATACTGTGTTTGAACTTAAGGCCTCATACTTGTGCTTGCTAGGCCCGCACTCTACCACTGAGCCATGTCCCCAGCCCTTTTCCTCTCCTTTATAAACACTTCCTTGGCTAACTCTTTTGCTCTTAGAATGAGCCAGTTAATCTTATACAAATCTGATTGCACAGATCTGTTTAACAAACCATGACTGGCTCTCGAATCCACTTGGAGGCCATAGTCAATACTTTGTTGCCACCTATTTGCCCACTTGGATTCTCCCAAAGCATCACAGAAATGTAAAGTTTACTGAAATGCTCACAAGGGAGATCAGTGGAGGGTTTACACTCAACACCACACAGCCAAATTTCATATAAATTCCCAGCCACAATCTCCATTCATTCCAAGAGCCTTTCCTTCCTCTTCCAGCTGCCTGATCTCTCCACTTCTTCCAACCCTCCATTCTTTTCTTTCTTCCAGCTGTGCTGGCTGGCTTCGGCCTTCTCCATCTCTAGATTCCTTAGCACCATGCCAAGCCTATTTATCAATTTATCCCGCTCAACCCTCAGATCTTTTCGTCATCATCTTGTTTCCTTGAAGTTCCAAATTCTGCCCATCAAAGTATCTCTTTGATGTCAATCTCTTTTGGAAGGCAAGGATATTATAAATAAGCAACACATTTATTCTCCTGCTGAAGATTGGAGCAAGTTAAGGGCAGGAATCGAACCTCATCTATCTTTGCATCTTGTGTGTAAAGCATTTAAAATATTGGAAGCATAGAAGAAGGAATAAAAGACAGACTATCACCGCTGATTATAATCCACAAAGTACCACTATATCCATAGTATTCTCCTGATCAAAAATCTTCCATACTCTTGAAGAGCTGCCGTTTCCCCCTGATTCTAGCACTCTGCTCGGTTCAAGCCCATGGTGCATACTTTTACCTTCAGACTTGTTCACCCACGTTGTTCTTTCAGGCCTGGAACAATCCATGTCTGATGATGGACACCTTATTAAGAGCTAAAGTGGATGCAACTGATTCTTTTTTTCTTATAGGCCCATCTAAGTTCTTTCCACTCTTTAATGCTTAGCAAAAAATCTTTTGCTTCATGACTTCTCCACTCTAAGCGAGAGATTCCTTCTCTGTTGAGTTCTTAGATAAAAGGCTTGACTATCTCTGAGAATATTGAATTATTTGGTCTTGCATTGTTGTATAGAATTTGGGGTACAAGGCTCTGGGACTGTCATTATTAGAGATATCACTCAATTTTTTCAGGTTTTCCTCCATTGCCAGACTTGTGGTAGGTTTGCCATCATCTAACATCTTTTAAGATAACTTTAGTTGTCCAAGAATTTCCAATTAGCCTAGGTTCTTGTATGGGTGAGGATTCGGGTGATCACGACGGGCATGTGGTGAAGATAGGAAATAACTTCGGTTGTGTGAATTCATTAAGATTCAGAGGTTTATTTGTTTCTGCTATACAAGATATGCTATCTAGACAGACTAGAATTACCTTGAAGGCAGTGTTATGCTCAACTATTCTTTCTGGGTCCTGTGGAACAGAGCTTAGCACCTCATGGATGTTCAATAACCATTGATGATTGATGACATATACTGAGATAGAGAAAGATATAGAAGACTAGAGAGTGGAATTTGGTATGAGAATTTAAGGACTTCGGTGGGGGCGTGGCTCAGGTGGTAGAAAGCCTTCTTAGCAAATATGCGGTCCCAAGTTCAAGCCTTAGTACTGCCAAAACACAAAAACAGAAACAAAAATACTCTGAGATTTTAGTTACTAAATAACTGAAATAAAAGTGTAAGATGGTTCCAGGAGGGCTTAATGAGATTCTTGCATATAAGGGGGGAGAATATTGTAATGAAAGAAAGCTGAGCTTTTAAGCAGAATAGATCCGGGTTCAAGTGCAAGCGTTATCATGTCCTTAGCCAAGGACCTTCGGCAAGTTATTTAAGATCTTTTGAGTTTTAGTTTCTTCATCTACCTACCACCCAGGATTATTGTGGGGATTAAATAAAAGAATATATTTAAAGCACTTGGCACATAATGAATGATCAGCAAACATCACTCCCTCAAGTCTCTTTTCCCACCAGATGTGTGTGGGTTGGTGCGAAATCTAGTTTAATTCTCCAGGAACTCCTTCCCTTCATTTACTCCCTCTGGGATCTCAGTTCCTTGCCTAGTCCTTGGATTTGTGTGTCTTGATCCTTCAGATTTCCTCCCCTATGTCGGCTCTGGCCTTCTGAATTCACGTGTGACTGGCTGGACTTGGCATGAGTCTTTGGTAGAGGACTCCAGACGGGACATGCTGTTTCTATGCTGTTTCTGAGACCGTCTCTCAGGGGTAGAGCCAGAGAGTGAAGACAGGCGATCTACATAGGGAAGAAAGAACTCAGAATGTTTCACTGAGCAGTTCCAAGGAAATCCAACTTGGCCTGGGCCTTAGGTCTTCTGGCCTATGATGGGTTTGCCTCTTGAATGATGGGATCATGGCAAAGATGGCAGGAGAGAAGTTGTGAACTTATCCTGCGGTGGTGGCTCAGAGCCTGGTGCTTGACTGCACTTCTGGCCTGGTCTTTGGTCACTTGAGGACTTAGTCCTCAGGGCCACCCATCACCTCCTGCCCTGGTGTGTAGCAGAGCTGTACTGTGGCATGCCCGGCTCCTCTAAAGGTGCTTGTGTAACTTGTTTTCCCAAGCCCTGGCAAGAGTTCTGGTCCTGAAGTGAGGAGGAGTTGTTTACATTCTGGAAGAGCGCTGTCTTCAATCAGGCAATTGCTTCTGATCATCCATCTCTTGCTCCTGACCATCCATGGCAACCACCCACAGCAGAAAGGTGAGGCAGCTTCTTGGGGACGAGGCTTTGCTGCCCTGGGGCCTCGGGCAGGGCACAAAACTCCAGGCCACGTGCAGCTGTCCAATAGATATTCACTAAGTAAATAAGCAGTGGAAACACGGGTGACGAATGATCCTGTAGAACACAGGCGGGTGGAGGTTCTGTATTGACAACCTGTTAAAAGCTTTCTCTGACCCCAGTACCTATGTTAAAAATTATAATGGTTATGATTGACTAAATAACCCACTCTATGCCAAGCAAAGGCACCTATTATTTCCTTAAATTTCATATTAGGCAATAGTTCTACGAATGGGTATTCTTTTCCTACTTCACAGGGCCGAGCCCAGGGACGGATGGGCACGAAGTCTTGGAACTTGTCTAATGTCACGGTCATGTCCTGTCAAACAGGATCTAAGGTCAGGCATCTTGGTTGGTCTTTCTCCACAGGATGCCTCACACCTCTTACTCTCCACCATCCTACCATAGAACAGGATGGGGTTACCTTTAAAGGGAGCTGGAGATAGCCAGGCATGGTAGCTCCTACCTGCAATCCCAGACTTGGGAGACTGAAATGCAAAGATGGAGCATTGGCACCAGGATTGCATCAAGAGATCCTGTCTCACAAACAAAAACAAATCACTAATGACTTAATTAAAAATAAAAGAGGCCTGAGGCCCAGCCCACTCCCCTGCTGAGCAGTTGTTTGTAGCTTTATTATTTTATTTTTTAAAATGATTTCTTCCTTTTGCAGAAAGACTTGACTTGAACCCAGAGGGAGCGCTGGGAGAAGCAGCTCCGTTCCAGCCATCTGCGATGCCCTACGTCAAAACATCCACCTGGGTGTAGAAATGGCCATTGGTCTTCCCAGCTCTCCACAGACCACACTGCTTGCCTCTTTCTGTCTGTCTGTCTGTCTTCAGTCTTCTGGTTTCAATGGCAGGTTTTTAATTTTTCTAGGAAAACCTTGCTTCGGGTATGATTTTATTATTTTATGGACAGGTGTTATTTTATTCTTTTATGGACAGGCCCTGGAACCAAATAAGGATTCAGTGTGTATTGAATTGCACGCAAATGCCACCAGGAGCATGACAGAGCTTTGGATCTGGGAGACAGAAAAGCTAGGAGGTGAAGGTGGGGGTGGGGGTGGATATGGGGCGGGGACAACAATGAACTTGACTCTAACATGGGATCTTCTCCCTCCCTGCCTCTTTCCCCTTCCCTTTCTTAGCCCAAGTCTGGGCAGTGGCAGTGAATTTAGTATTACAGCTGTCATCTGATTACAGTAACATCCAAACAGATTGTACAGCACCAGTCAATGCCAAGCCAAAGTGCACGTGCAGGGGGCTGTTTCCTTGGAAATGCTTCAGCTGTAATTAAGAGAGAGAGAGAGAGAGACAGACAGACAGACAGACAGACAGACACAGAGACAGAGCCACACACCTTCCTCGATCTCTCCGGGGAGAAGTATTAGCCACTGACTAGGAGTAGAGGAAGGTCATCCGGGACTTGTGACCACCTTCGCAGCCCACTGCACAGAGAGCCTCTGACAGCCCAGGGATTCCAAGCCAGGCCCCCGGGGTTGGCCGGGGTTGCTGCTGCTGCTGCTGCTGTTGTTGGGTTGCAGCTGAGATCAGCCTGTTGATCTTGTTTTACACAGAGCAGCCCTGCCTGTTTTGCCGAGTACAGAATGTTCCCTTCTGTGAACTGAGCTTGAACTTTTCCAGTCCACTTTGTTGGAGGAAACACACAGACACAGAGGAAAAAGACAGGGAAGATAACCCTTGAATTGTGGAAATTGTGGTGTTGCCTGCGATTTGGGCTCAGGCCATGTGCTTTTCGCTGCTGGAAATGGAAAGAAAGAAAGAAAGAAAGAGAAAGAAAGCGAGAAATCTAAGCATTACACTTCTTGGAAGAAGAAAACGCCTGTGATGTCCTTCCTTTAAGACAGGACTTGGCACGGGCTCTGGAATTAACAAGTCTGTCACTGTCTCTCTTCAATTTCTTTTTTTTCCTCCTCCTTAGGCATCAGAGAAACAACAACAATAAAAGCTGTTTTCCTATAAAGGAAAGAAAGATAGGCAGCCGAAGCCTGTGACTTCTTGGTTTTTCAGGTTATCTTACTTTTATAAATCGTGTTCCCCAATTTGCTGTTAAGCCTGGAGAGAATTGATAACAGGGACTTGGGGTTGTTCAGTTCACCTCCATACAAATGACCAGGCAGAGAGGCTTTTAATGCGTGGTCAGGTGGCTTGAAACTTCTCTTTAAAACTGTCTTCATCTTGTCTCACCTTGAGGGTACCAAAGGTTTAGAAGGCTGTGTAGATGGCCAGGGAGTGAGACTGGCTACATTATACTGGTTTTCTAAATCATCATTCTTTTTATTTTAATTTTTAGAATTGTTTTTTCTTATGATCTTTTACACGTTGTACAAAGAAGTTGCCATTTAAGAAAACAATTTATGAATACTATATATCTTGATCAGTGTCACCCCTTTCAATATTCTAACCCAGCCCTCCTCTACTTACTCCTTCCCTTACTCTTTTTAAATTTTGTAGGCTATATATAGGATTATTATTATTATTATTTTCTTTTCTATTTTTTTCCATCCCTTCCCATCTCCCCCCAATCCCCCCCACCCCCGCTATTATTATTTTTATCAATTGTGGGGCTTGAACTCTGGGCCTGGGCACTGCCCCTCAGCTCTTCAGCTCAAGGCTAGCGCTCCACCACTTGAGCCACAGCACCAATTCTGGTTTTCTGGTAGTGTGTTGGAGATAAGAGTCTTACGGACTTTCCTGCCCAGGCTGGCTTTGAACCGTGATCCTCAGATCTCAGCCTCCTGAGTAGCTAGGACTACAGGTGTGAGCCACGGGATCCCGGCTCTATTGGAGTTTTGACTGCATTTCCCCCATCTTCTCTTCATTTGTCTATCTTTTTTTCCCTTGGCTCTACCCCACCCCTTTTGAGTACCTGCTTCCTGTCTTTATTTTACTGAATGTTGAGTTTACCTTTCTAAAGAATTTCAAAATTTGAGGTCACCCTTGAATCCATCATTTTTCAGGTAATACATTTATATGTATCTGCATACCACCCAATGTACTTACTAATAAGTTTATGAGCCCAATCTAGCTTCCACATATAAGGGAAAGCTTGCATCCTTTGCTTTCTCTGGGCCTGAACTTACTTCACTTAACATATTTTTTCCAAGTCTTTCCGTGTATTGACAAATGGTATAATACCATCATTCTTTTGATTCTAAGAGATGAGGCCTCACTATACTGATCAGGGTGACCTTGAGCTTCTGGGCTCAAGCAATCCAACCTCATAAGTAGGTGGGGCTACCACATACTTAGGTATACCGTTACACCTAGATGATGGTGATGATGATGATGAGGACAATGATGATGAACTTTTTGGGGATTTGAACTCAGGGTCTCTAGCTTGCTTAGGAAAGCAGTAGAGTGCTTGATCTATAAACCATGAGCTTAAAGGAGCCATGCTTCTATCCCTTTTGGCTTTAGTTTGCTTTATGGATAGGGTCGCACACTTTTGCTACAGCTGTCCGGGAATGAAATTCTCCTGCTTCCATCACATGAATAGCTTAGATTATAGCTGTTTACCTCCCAAGATGGTCTACTTTATTGAGACAGTGATCTAGTAGCTGGGATTCTAGGTATGAGTCATCACATTTGGCACTATTTACTATCATTATTTTATTATTATTATTACTATTATTTGTCAGTTGTGGGGCTTGAACTCAGGGCCTGAGCTCTTCAGCTCAAGGCTAGTGCTCTACCACTTAAGCTACAGTGCCACTTCCAACTTTTTCTGTTTATGTGGTGCTGAGGAACCAAACCCAGGGCCTCATGCATGTGAGGCAAGCACTCTACCACTAAGCCACCTTCCCAGCACCCCTATTTATTATTTTTTATAATAATAAATTATTTCATTTGAACTAAAAGCATATTCATTTTAAAATTGTCATTGAATGCTTTCCATGTTTAAGTTAATGACTAGGATCTTGGGAGATGAGGAATACATGTTCACTGCATTCAAAGAAATTATTGTCTAGTGAGGGAGGTAGGAACTCACTCAGTATATCTATCTATCTCTATCTCTATCTATCTATCTATCTATCTAAATAGTGGACTGTGGAGTTCTTCTTTTCCTCCCCCCCTCCTTCTCTGCCTCCTCCACCACTACTACTTCTCCTTCTCCTTCTCCCTCTCCCTCTCCCCCCTCCCCATCCCCCCTCCCTCCTCCTTCTCCTCCTCCTCCTCCTCTTCTTCCTCTTCCTCCTCCTCCTCCTCCTCCTCCTCCTCTTCCTTCTCCTCCTCCTCCTCCTTCTCCTTCTCCTCCTCCTCCTCCTCCTCCTCCTCCTCCTTCTCCTTCTGCCTAATTGGGGATAAGAGTCTCAAGGACTTAGGGCTGGGAAGGTGGCTCAGTGGTAGAGCACTTGCCTTGCAATGCATGAGGCCCTGGGTTCGATTCCTCAGCACCACATAAGCAAAAAAAGAAAAAAGCCAGAAGTGGCGCTGTGGCTCAAGTGGTAGAGCGCTAGCCTTGAGCTGAGGAGCTGAGGGACAGTGCCCAGGCCCAGAGTTCAGGCCCCATAACTGGACCCCCCCCCAAAAAAAAAAAAAGAGTCTCAAGGACTTTCCTGCCTAGGCTAGCTTTGAACCTCAATCCTCAGGTCTTAGCCTCCTGAGTAGCTAGGATTACAGGTGTGAGCTACCAGTGCCTAGCTTAGCCTCTCCTTTTGTCAAGAGATGATGAGCTGAGTTTTAGACAATGTTATATTCGCAGGGAGAATGTTCTTGCTATTTGGAAATATGAAGAGCTAGAGCAGTTCAGGATTTAGTCACAGAGAGAAAAAGCCTTGGGGGCAATCGTGGTAAACGCTACGCTGTCTCTTGAGAAGAGAACCGACATGCCATTTATAGACCTGGGAAAGGAAGCCCACGTTTGACCTTGAGAGGTGGCTGTATATAATGAACCCCAGAGAAAGAGAAGCTGAGAAATTAAATGACTCTTATCAGGTTGGGTGACTTAGTTAAGTTGAATCCTCTAACTCTTTAGCACAGAACAATGAGCTGTGGGCCTGAGACTTGTTGGTATCTGTCGACGGAGCTTTTCTTCCTCCCACATCCTTGAAGGTGTGCTTCTTAAACTTTTCTCAGAGTTGGACATGAACCACAGTGAGAAATGCATTTTCTCTAAAGACCCAGGATATCTATGCAGACATACTTGTAGGACAAAATCAATGGGGTTTCTGGAACAATAACTGCTTGGTATCTTCCAAATTAGTATTTTTCTCTTCTATTTTATTGGTTTAAAAAAAAAGAAACTGCTAGTTGGCTTCATTAAGTTGGTACTGCAGGTGCAAGTGTTTCAAAGCTACATTTTGCCCGACAGTGGTTAAGTTAAAGGATAATGGTTTCTGACATTCCCCTCTCCCTCTAGTGGTGGGAATCTCTCAGTAGAGAGTGGAGCTGTGGTATCTCCTGGGTCTGTTGAGGAGCAGTTGAGAGGTGCTCAGTTTGACTCATTTTATTTTTTTAAAATAATTTTGGGATTTGAACTTGGGGCCTGGGTGCTGTCCCTGAGCTCTTTTGCTGTCTACCAATTTGATCCACAGTGCCACTTCCAGTTTTCTGGTGGTTAATTGGAGATAAGCTCACTGACTTTCCCGCTCTGGCTGACTTCAAACACCACGCTCAGATCTCAGCCTCCTGAGTAGCTAGGATTACAGGTGTGAGCCATTGACACCTGGCTCTCTCTCTTTTTTTAAACGTAAAAACTTGAAACAGTTATTATTATAAAGGTAAGGTACAGAGGGGTCTCAGTTACATAAGTCAGGTAACAAGTAAATTTCTTGTGGCGCAATGTCACACTCTTCCCTCTTCTCTCCTAGTTTTTCCTTCCCATCCCCACCCACAAGATAGATACTTCATTTTCAACATAGTGTCTAGTGAGTACCCTTTATCCCTCCATGTCTGTGTACACCCTTACTCTCCAAAAGACACATAAACCAAGGAGACAGAATGAAAAGGAAAAAATAGCAACAAAGAAAAAAAACCCTCTTGTTTCCATTTTCTGGAGTTTATTTCGATGACTATTATCTTCTATGATCAGAGGCACATAGGCATGGCGTCTTTGTGTTCCTCCCTCCCCTTAGAGTATCCTTCTTGGTCCCACTGGAGTCCTGCACAGCTGATCATATCCGGGTACTCTTTATGTGATTCTTAGCAAAGCTTGCTCTAGTTCTCTGTCCTCTGTACAGCTGTTCTCAGCGGAGCGTTTTTCAGTTTACAAGCATCAAGTACAGGATACGATTTTGGGAAGTGGAGACCCGTTGGGTGTGGTAGAACAGACCTTTAATCCCAGCATTTGGGAAATTGAGGCTGGAGGCAATCCTTGGCTTACACCGGGAGACTTCGTCTCAAATAATGTTAGGGCTGGGGATGTATTCAGTGATAGACGCCAAAAACAAACAAGCAAACAGAGAGACAAACCGCAAAGCCAACAGAAACAAAAAGTGAAGGCAGATAACCAATAGGAGCCCGGAAGCGCAGTGGGCGGGGATAGTGAGAGGGTGGACTGGCTTCTGGGCTTGGTCTGTGACTCTGGTCACTTAGGAATTCATCACCTGGCCTGAACTCTGGGCTTCCACCTTTACCCCAACCCTCCAGCCACCCTGCAGGTCTTCCCACCCCAGGCTTCGCTCTCCAAGGCAGCTCTGGCATCATCTTCACTCTCTGGTTTTTGCTGGCACTGTTCACTCATCCTGCCCCACACAGAATTCCTCCTTTTCCTCTCCAAGGCCCAATGTCCGGCTAGGACCCACAGGGGAAAGTTCTAGCTCGGCAGCCATCCCAGATCACAGTTGCCCCACCCTGCCCACGTCTCTACAGGAAGCTCAGGCTGGCAGCTTTTCTTTCCACCCCTGGATGGGTGGTGCCTCTCTGATCCTAGCGTTGTGCTGTGCATCTCCTCTATTCATTCTTTCTTAGAGCTTCCCCAGATTCTCTTCTGTCTTTCCACACCTTTGCATTATATATTTTTCGTTTAAGAATATCACCAAACAAGCTGGGCGCTGGTGGCTCACGCCTGTAATCCTAGCCACTCAGGAGGCTGAGATCTGA